ACAGTTGTGCATCACCTTGCCTGGTGGAATTATATATATATATATATATATTTTTTTTTTTTTTTTTTTTTTTAATCAGTACCAGGGATCGAACTCATGACTGCCTACATGCAAGGCAGGTGCTTATGCCGCTGAGCTAAATCCCCAGCCCCAAATTATATATTTTTTATCTTGTTGGTTTTCTTGGTCCATTTTCTATTGCTCCATCTCACACAGACCAGGTTATTTATGAAGAACATTCCAAGTAGCTCAGGGATAGAGATTCTGTAGCATGGGTGAGGTTGGGGTCAGTCCCCAAAGGAAGAAGGAAAGAATAAAGTCTGGCACAATGGTGAACACACCTATAAACAACACTCTGGGAGGCAGGGCAAGTAAACCATAAGTTCAAGCCCAACCTAGGCAATTGGGTGACTTGGTGAGATTATGTCTCAAAATAAAAAGTAATGATGTAGCTCAGCGAGAAGGCCCTGGGGTTAATTCCCCGTGGGTGAAAAATAGGGTAAAGAACAGAGCCTTATTTCAGCTCACATTTCAGTAGGATGGGTTCTTGCATTTTGTGGGCATCTGGTGAGAGCCTCACACTGCGTCATAACATGGAGGAGGGCAGAAGGGAAGTGAGTGGGGACAAGAGGCACACTGTGTGACAACCCTCTCACAGGCACTGAATGGCAGTGATCCCTCTCAGTGGGGGTGGCACCCCACGACCTAATCACCTTGTAAAGGTCCCTTCACCACATCTCAATAGAGACTAATTTTCCAGTCCATGAATTTGGGGGGACATATTCAATTCGCTGCAATAATATACAATGAAAGCTTTAAGTTCATGTTCAGTAGATGAATAATACTCTTTGAAATATTCTTTATCTGATGCATTTAACAATGTCCTATTTCCCCAAATTCTTGCTGTTACAATCAACCCTGTAATAAGTGTGCTTTTTCATAGAGCTGTGCAAACCAGTGTTTATGCTTTCAAAGCGTACATGCTAAAAGCAAGGTTATGAGATCAATGGATTGATACCTTTTAATTTTATGTGTATGTTGTTTGATTCTTTTCAAAAATATTTATACAGTATATGAGAATGCTTACTTTTCACAGATTCTCACTTGCTTTTAATGTATGTCATTTTGATAATTTCTCGTCTGAGAAGTCAAAAATAGTACTCCCATCATTTTAAATTGCATTTCCCTACCTGTCAGTAATTTTAGCATCTGAACCTGAATTTATTTGTATGTGTTTTAGTTCTTCTGGCTTATATTTTTATTGGTTTGCTTCTTATATCCTGGGTATCTTTTATACTGAAGATATTTGCCTTTTTTTAAATAAAATTTTAGGAGTTTTTTTATATCGAAGTTATATAAGTCCTTTGTCCGAGAGTTTTGAAATTTTTTCCCACATATTACTTACTTAACAAGCAATATAATAATATTCACTTTTTTATATAGAAAGTGAGTATATCAGAGTTTTACTGCTATGGGTTGATTTATGTCCCATAAAAATTGTATGTTAATTCCTAAACCTCCAGTGCTATAGTAATTGTGTATGGGTCATTGAGAGATAATTAAATTTCAATGAATTCATGAGGACAGGAATCTCATAATCACACTGGTGTCTTCACCAGAAACCAACTGTTCTGGCACCTTGAAATAGGATTTCCAGCCTCCAACACTGATAAAATGAATTTTTGTTATTGCAATCCAGTCTGAGGTATTTTATAAGGCATTTAGAGCTAAACCAGTAACAATATATAAACTCTGAGAATATGCTGCCCCATCCTTTGACTTCACCAATGCTTCTCATCTGTTCAAGCATTTCCAATCTAAGTTATGAACCACTGTCACTAAACATTTCTTTTGGCTTTCAAGGTTTCCAACAGAACCCAGGAAAGAGAACATAACAAAACACCATCTTATGCTCACAGAATATGGTTCAAAAACCATGAAGTCTAAAAACTTAGCTGAAACACTTCAACAGTTGAGATGACGTGAGTATTTTAGTGCTGGAGTATCTGCAGTGTTACCCATTCTTACCCCTGAAAGTTTTGGTTGTGTTGACTTGCAACTGGGTTTGGCCAAGTTCATTAACCAGAATGCATGCTCTTGGTCTCTCCATGTGACTTGGACTTCCTCAATCCTTGGTGGCCTCTGAGAAATCAGACTGCTTACATAGTGGCTCAGATTCCAAATGAGAATGTCTCCGTGAATGAGGGAAGGAAATTACGGCCTTCCCTGAGCTAACCTCAGAAGTCAGACACCATCCTTTCTACATACTGAATTAGCCCCACACAGATTTAAGGAAGGAAGATAACAAACCCACCTGTCCGTGGGAGCAGAATTGAAGAATTTATCGCCTTGTTTTAAACAGCCACATACCTATATAAATACAATCATACATATGGAGCTAGGTACATATACAGATGTGTGTATTAAATCCTCTTTAAATTCCATTTAATTCTCCCAACCAGCCAATTGCTAGGTAGTATTTTGTTGTCTTACCTATTTTCACTTGCATGGTTCCATAGCCAGCAAGTGGTAGAAAGAGGATTCAAGAGAATCTACAGTGAAGCTCAAGCTAATTCTACTAAACCGTATTGATTTGAAAGGACATGTTATTAATTTTATCATTCATTATTGCCACTCTAATAATTTTGAGTTCATATCATATTTGTAATAATTTATTTTCTTTGGAAATAAAATAAAATGGATGAGATGAAACTGAGTTCAGTCTTAAGCAGAATTTACAAAACAGATAAACCTCAGGTAGACTGAAAGAATGTCAAATTGAGAGCAATCATGTTCAGGGATTGATCCTCCCCTAAGGCACAGCATTTTCTGGAATAATAGGATGTAAGGCTCCTGAGTGGGTTCTTTGTCTCTTTGATAGAGGGGTTCCTGCTTCTGGACATTATCTGCCCCCCTCACTCTCCCTTCTCTGCAAGCTTCAGCTGATTGGAATGATCTGATAAATCCCCTCAGCTCTGTTTCATGGTGCACAAAGAGATAAAACTGAAAACCATGCCTACACAGTGGGGAAACAGAACCCTGGCTGCTCATTAGCCTCCAGAGTATTTTAATCAATACCAACACAGCAGCCTATTCTGTCACGCACGTAGCCCAGGAGAAGATTGACAGGGGTAACCCTCCTGTGCCATGGTTCGTTTGTGCTGCACATAGAAAGGTAGCTAATGAACATCTTTTGGTAAGTTAAATTGAAAATATAACCTTCTGGTCCATCAGTTAAGAGATCATTTGAACTCGATCTGAAAGGCTGAATGTTGAAAGAAAAAAAAAAGAGCAGCATAATTAGTAATACCAAAAAATGTATCTTATAAAAAAGGCTGCAAAATCTATTGCTACCTCAAGGTCACACATAAGCCCATCCAATTCACAAGTGATGAATGGTTTTCATTCCCACTGGGTGTGTACATATGTGTTTGGGTCTCTGTTTGAGCATGCATACTGGTAATGCTTCCGAGATCTCTCTATCAATGAGATTTCCAGGATGATAAAGTCTTACTGAGTCTTTGAAAATGACCTGAATGAGGAGATAAGAGATCATTATAACAAGGAAGGTCAAATCAAAAGAGAGTACAAAGAAATATATTTTTTTTCAAGTAAACAATGTTTGAAGGTTCTAAATTGTTTCTATGATGTAAACAATGGATGAGGAATAATCATATAAATGTGAAATCTGGAAGAGTGTAAAATTTATCTTTGGTGTTAACTGAATTATCACTAATATTCAAATGAGCAATTTCTCACAAATTGATTTGTCCCCTTGGGCTACATGTTGTCACATTGCCACAAGAGAGCAGATTTCTTTATGCTTTTGTGACAGGAGAGACTATGTCATAAACATGTTTGGCACCATTTTATCACATAGAACCAGTGAGAGAAAAAAACAGAGAGAGGAGTGTGGGCGCCTGCGTGGGGGAGCAGGCTCAGGTAAAAAGAAAGGAACATGGTGAGGTGTAGGGAGGCGGCATGCGTTTCTAGTTGCTGCTACAGCTTCTCCTGAACTGAGGAGCTACACTTCGTAATTCTGAAACAGCTGAAAATGATTCAGGTAGCAAGTAAAAGACCAGTTTATCTGATGATCTGGCCAAAACCATATCCCTGGCACAAATACAGCATGCTTTACATGTGGACAAAGGTTGTGATTCAGTGGGATTGCCAAGCCATATATAGGGTGCTACAATGATTGCTCTCTTTCTTATAAATGTGATGTCTGGCACATTCTTGCTATTCGGTGTCAAGTAACAATGGAAATATTGCTTGACCTATTTGCCAATTAGAATAAAATAGGTGAGGGGGTGAGGTGGCAGAGGGCTTGCCCAGCATACTCAAGGCTCCAGGTTGATCCCTAGGACATTTAAAAATTATTAAAGAAAAAGATATAAATACTGATTCTAGAGCAAGCTTCATATGATTTCTCTTAACCTAGAATGATAACAAACTGCAGGCTGGAGCATTTTAATTCTTACTGAATCTCTTTCCTAGAAAAGCAAGCATAATATTTCACTTCTTGCATCTTTTATGCAAAATTCTACCACTTTACTCATTCTGGTGTTGATTATGTGCCTCTCAAAGAAAATATTAATAAAAACAAAATGATGTTTTAGTTTGATTTTTCTTTTATCACTTTCCTGTAATATATGCCTGAATTAAGTGAAAGATATCTGATTTGACGAAACCAAAGAAACATTCTACAATTCTTTTTTTTAAAAGTGAGTGATCTGTTTGTCCTTTGAATGTACAAAATCAAACCCAAAGAATTGGGACTGCAGTTCAGTTGTTAGTGTGCTTGCCTAGAATGCTTAGGGCCTTGGGCTTGTATCCTAGTGAACAAACAAACAAACAAACAAAGTCAGGGAAGTTTCTTGATTCCTAATTATATACATTACCATCATTGTGGCTGGAGTTCTAAGCACATGATAAAATCATCCAATTCAAATAAGAATGCAAAACATTTGTCATGATCTATTTGTATTCCCTTAGGGATATTTATCACTAAACAGACTTTTTATTGTTTATTATCTTTTGTGTTTTCCAGGACAAAAAAAAGTCACATTCCATTCAACAACTAAATATCTATACCAAACCATTTTAATCTCTGGAAATACAGACTTTTTAAAAAGTACTACAGCAGTACCTGTCTCTTGCTTTACAAAAACACAGACTTAATATTTTGCAAAGCACACCCACATATAATTTGTGTTTGTTTGTCTGAGACAGTCTTGTTATACAGTTCAGGCTGGTTTTGAACTCATTTTGTAATCCAGGCTAGCCATGAAACATGTATGATTTGAAACTGACAATTTCCTTGCGATATAGATGGAACAATGTTTTACTGTTATTTTATAGATGAGGAAATTGAGACCTCAACAAGTGAGTTGAGTGATCTCGTTGAATATTACCTGATTAGGTTAAGAATAAGATCTTTAAATAAACACAGAATTCTTTTCATTTTAGAAATACACTGGCCATCAATCCCCCCATCTGTGTGTGTATTTGAAGGAAGAAAATGGGCTATACTACAAGAAAGCAACTAGAGGTTCAAGGTTCTGCTTCTAACATTAGAATTTTCCATAAAATGGAAAGAAGCATTATTCCAGGGTCACAATGTCACTGAGGCTAAAGGAAAAAATGTTAAGGATATGATTATAATGAGAGTTAACATAATGGCTTAAGAATCTCCGAGCTATTTAGTGATTTCTGCAAAGAATCCCATGCCAGCATCACTGATATCAACCTTAATTTTTTTCTTTTTTGCATTTAATTCATTTGAAAACCATTCATCAAGTGCCTCGCCGGGCCCATATTGAGGGTACAAAAATGAATAAATATGTTTAGTGAGCAAAAGAAGTAAATACATGTGTTAATTAAATTGAAACAATAAACAGATGTTGCAAGAACCCAGTGGTTATTTTCTTTTGTATTACAAGAAATAGCCTACATTCCTTTCTAGCTTATTAACAATGACCTGTCAAAGCAGACACTGGGTAAATAGTAGTCATTCTGGGTCTTTATGAAAATAGAGGTCAGAGTGAGGTGAAAGGTGTTTTGATTTTCCCTTAAGTAGCCAACAGAACATTAAACACACTTCTCTATCATTGCACTGACCAAAATACAATCTGAAATAACGGATGACTTTACCTGTTCAGAATCTCTGCTCTGTGTTTCTGTTTCCTCATCTAGCATTTTTCCAGGCTGTGTACTGGAATCATCCTTTTAAGGAAAACCTAGGCCTCCCCAGTTCCCCATCACCACCATGCCCTCTTCCAAACAAGCATGGACTTAAAACTTTCGGGGCTGGGGATTTAGCTCAGCGGCAAAAGCGCCTGCCTTGCAAACAGGCAGTCGTGAGTTCGATCCCTGGTACCAATAAAAAGGAAAAAGACCAAAAAAACAAAACAAAACAAAACAACTTTACAGAGATAGATGTGCAATTCTGTTCTAGGCTGAGAGTTGCTTAGTGTCAGAAACCACTGAGCTTTATATTCCTAGTCTCTTGCATGGACTAGGTGATAACGGTAGCCTCAGTTAGGAGAGCTAAGTGGGGCTGGAGGCAACAGTATTTAGCTTTGTCTTCTTCACTTCCTCCCCCACAATCTGTGCTTTCTACACCCAAGAAAGGCTAGTCTACCTAAAACCAGTGTGCATGCCGGAAAACTAGTGTCAAAGCAAGATCATAGGGCCCCTTCTCACCAGATTGCTTATCTGGTAAAAATTTGTTTGTAATACTTTTGGGGAACAAGCAATAACTTGAATGGTACCATTGTTCTGTTTGTTTGTTGGAAGGATTTTTTTTTTTTTTTTTTTTTTTGAGGTACTAGAGATTGAATCCAGAGCCTTCACTTTAAGGTACATCTCCAGCCCTTTCTTACATTTTGTTCTGAGACAGGATCTCTGTAAGTGGCTAGGTTTCCCAAGCTGGACTTGTGATCCTCTTGGTTCAGCTTCCCAGAGTGCTGAGATTACAGGCCTATGCCACCATGCCCAGATCATAATTACTTTTAATGAGGTCCATTGCAGAATTTCCATGCAGCACAAATCTTAGCTTTTCATGAAGTCTTATGAGTTTTGATGTAATCTGTAGCCAGCACCATAATCATGAAAAAAGAACATTTTTATCATCCCAAAATAATTCCCCTTGAACTACTACAATCTTAAATGAACTCTAGGAGAACCCTAAAACCTATCGCGAGGCTGCAGATAACATAATACAGTCTTGCATTTTTGACAACTCAAAGCACTACTCCAAAATGAATAGTTCTTTTTCTCTCAGTCATCATACTGTTTGGTTGTATTGCATTCTCCTTTTGGAAAACTTAATGTATTGAGCACAAAATTTCACTGTTATCCCCCCAAAATCTGACCCAACAGTAGAGATTCATACTCTGCTTCAATGAAACCAGTACATCTCTTCTCCCAACTAACTTGCATGTTTCTATTTTTTCCCAAGACAGCCACATAAATAGTTTAACAATGTCAAGCTTGTTGTTTTAAGCAAAGTGACTATTAGTTGCATCACACTGACACTGAGCCTTTTCCTTATTTATGATTATATTTCTGCATGGGGAACATGGAAAGGCTTTGTATCCTGGGGACATCTGCTACGTCTAGATTGGCTGGGTTAATGGAGTGATACAGCAAACAAGTAAGTAACCAAATCAGTGAATGGGGGAGAGAGAGAGAGAATGAGTGCTTGCCTCCATTTTCCGGATGAGGCAGCATTTGAAAGGCACAGTGAGGTCAGGTGACTGGCAGAAAGCCACACGCTGATGTCACAGCAGTGCCTGTCAGATGCCAAGTTCATTTTCTTTGCTTTCTCCATCCAGCTATGGACTGTTGCTTAAACTCCCATAAAATATCAACAATGAGAAGTAAAAACCAAAAAAATAAACCACAACATTAAGTGGTTTTCTTGCATGAATTTGATGTACACAGGATCGCATAATTAAGATTAGGGGATACATTTTCACTTGACAGGAACTAAAAATTGGTTCCTTATTCACCAGACTTTCTATTCCATTAAGTGGATTTCAGTAATACTTTTTGGCACTGCTCTGTGCATTTCTGCAAATAATAATAATAATACTTTGTGCACGTCCGTTGCATTTCTATTTTCACCAGGTTTCTTTAATGAAGAAAGACAAATACCTTCCCCCCTGCCCATTTTACTATGACCTGTTAGGGAGAGGAGGCTGGAGAAGAGTCTCTGAGATCTCCCATTGTTACACCAATGTTTGCACTCGATTTCAGTTTTCTTCACATTTGCACAAGTCAGGAGCACCTTGGCTGCATTGCTGTGGAGAGCCTGTTATATTGGAACGGGTATCCAAAGAACCTGAATGAGCATAAAGAGTCATCATTTCGTATGAAACTAATTTAAATGTTCTAACAGGAAAGCAGAGAAGGCGACTGACTCCCCTGCCAGGGGGGTCCGCTGTCCCGCGTGTCCTGCACTCCTGCTGTCTTCCGTCCATCCCCTGGCCTATCAGAGGTGCATGAATGCTGGCTTCCTCTAGCCTCACTGCTTTCTCTCCCTCTGCCTTTCTGGCGCGGCTCTCCCTCCCTGCCTCCCTCTGGCTTCTGTTCTTCCTCACTCCTTCTCTCAGCTGCTTAACTACAGCTCCCACTGGAACTTGCACAATCAACAACAGCTCTCCTCCCGAGCAGCCTCCAGAAGCGCATCACCTGGAGCGGCGCCTCGCTCGCTCCCCGCCCGGCCGCGGAGCTAGCTGGGGGCGGGGAGGGGACTCTTCTCCCGCCCGGCCGGCCGGAGCATCTCCCTGGAGACCCCACATCCCGCAGCCGTCCTGCACCCCGACGCTGTAACCGTGATGACTGCATTTCGGAGCAAGGATGGAGAGAGAAAAGCTACCGTCGGGAGCAACTGAAAGTGAGGAGCGGTTGCTGCAGTAGCTGGTGCTGCAGAATGTGCGCGTGAAGACCTGAGCCTCGCTGGTCTCCATCCCGCTCGGTCTTCATTCACTGTCTCGAGGAGAGCAAAGGGAAACGGATGCCCTAGCCAGGCGGGTGCCACCCTGGATCTATAACCGTGAAGTCGCCACTGTGGAAAATGGTAAACAAAGACATGAATGGATTTCCAGTCAAGAAATGCTCAGCCTTCCAATTTTTTAAGAAGCGGGTAAGGACAGGTTGTTTGCTTCTTTTGTTTTCCGTGCTTCTCCTAAATGCTTTAGAATGCTTGCTGAGGTGATCCTGAGGTTTGGTTGGTCAGCCCTTCAGGAAAGCTGCCGCTAGTGTTGGTCAAGGTGAGGACTGGTCCTGCCTGGATTCCAATCTGTTGGGGGCGGGGTGGGGAGGAGGGGGGCTAGGAAGAGTTGCACTGGGCAGAGGCGGTTGGGGTGAGGTGCCTTGGAGAGGCTTTGAGCTGGGAATGGGATTTCTCAACCAAAGCCACCACAAAGATTACCAGGTAGTTTCAGCAGAACTGGCCTGAGTACAATTATGGCCAGTAAATGAGTTGGGCTAATTAAGGATCTCTCAGGCTATCTTTCTCTCTCTATCTGCCTCTCTCTCTCTCTCTCTCTCTCTCTCTTCCGTTTTTGAAGGGTCCAACTTTTCCACACCTTTCCTTTGCTGTTGCTCAAGTGCTGCATTCTCATTTCATTAGTCTGAAGGAGCAGCTTTGCCCCACAGATGCATTTAGCCAGTCATCAGCTATCTATGTATAAACAGTGAGGGACTAGAGTGACCTTTCTCAGAAATGATGGAATCCAACATTTTAATCTTCTATTTCAAGTTGTCTCAGTTTTGCATAATGTATCTTTCCTTTGCTTAGTATGTCTTTTTTTTTTTTTTAAGAGAGTGCGGGTGTATTTGAGTAACAGTTTAAGATTTTGCTGCTATATATATATTTACTGAAATTCCTTGTTCTTTCATTCATAGTGTTAATAGTGTTGCATGGATTGTAAATGGACTTTTTTCCCCCTTTTTGTGTGTTTCACAATAAACTCAATTCGCTGTTAATGGCCACACTAGTGGTCTGTAATTCTGCAAATTTATCCCCAAGTGGGGGGTAAGAAGTGAATGATTGTTAGAGGACTGGTGAGTGGCATGTTTATGGAAAGTGTATTTTAAGCCAGGGAGCTTTCTGTAGTTCCCAGCTGCCCTATCCTTTTTGATTCCCTAGGGTACTTTCCTCCAAATGTTTCTCTCCATTCATTCCTCCTTTCCTTCATTCAGGTCCCTTCTGTGCCATGCCTGAATCACAGCCCTTGCTAACTTCCCAGCAGAACACAATGAATTGCAGGCTGGGCGGGATGACCTCCCTGCACCAAATGGGCAAGCTGGGAGCCTGGGTTGGAAACAGCATGATTGGTCCAACTAGAGGGCTAGCTGAGGCTCCCACACTGAGCTCTCTGTCAGTCAAGCAACATCTCCCCAGGAGTCCCTGGGTCCACTGAAACCAACGGAAACCAAAATCTTGTGCAGTGCACATACCAAGCAAGGGACATCTCTTCACTAGCTGAGTGTGCAAGCTGGATGACAGGAAGTCAGTACAACTCCACAGAGTAGCACCACACTGTTTAGAGTTCTCTTGTGGCCAAAATATTTCTTTGCAAGGGAAAGGCCTCTTTGTGAAGATAGATTTCCCAGAAGAAATAGCTACTTTGCTAATAAAAAAAAAAATGCCATGACCTTTTTATTCAGTACTTACACTCTCAATTCCCTTTTGATTAATCCAGTTTTCCTGTTATTTTTGAGAAGGGGGTCTTGCTATATTGCCTATGCTGATCTCCTACTGCCTGGGTTGAAGCAGTCCTCCTGTCTCAGCCTCTAGAGCTGTGGGACTACAATCAGTCTACTGTGCACATCTCAATTAACTTATTTGATGATGCTAGGGATATTTTAGTTTATTTAGTTCTAGGATTGGAACCCAGGACCTAGGACCTTATGCAAGCACTCCACCATTGAGCTACATACCAGGCTCCAGGGCCACGGTTTAGGACTCTTTCAATCAGATATCCTTAATCAACCGCATTGCTTTCATGTAGATTTTTTTAAAAGTTATCTCTTATTTTCTTTGCCATGAACATATACTATAGAAATACTAATTTACCATCTGGCTTCATTTTGCTTAGAAGTATAATTTACCAATATATTTTAGTTTTAACTAGTGCTTCTGAAGATCATGACTTTTGCCAAGACCAAATCAGTACGTGCATGTATCTAAGTCCTTGCAGGGAGAAAGCGTTTGCTTCAAGATAACCAGCAAGTGACTTCACCTGCCTTCTAACCTGGGCCTGTCAGTTGCTGCAGGTAGGATCGGCAATTCCCCCCACCCCTCTGCTCTCTCTGCTCCTCAAGGACACCTAGCTAAGGACAATGTGACTGTGTACCAAGTCATTGACAGCCCCAGGGAGGAATTCTTTGATTCTTGTCTACTTGGATTTATTCCTCATTTTTTTCCTGTATTCTAAATAAATGCTCATTGCAGTTTACACCATGACTTAACTTTGATATTTTTGTTGTTGTCATTTGTTTGCTTTTTGTTTTTCAAATTGTACAACTATTATACAAATAAATATGTGAAGAATTAAAATGACATTGAGGTTTATTCCACCTCTTCTCCTGTCCTCCTCCCCTTCCCAGGGGTAATTAACTGTCATATTGGTGTTCTTACTTTCCAGACCTTTTTTGAAAACCCTCTCTATGTATTTTACATATACATTCATCTGCTATATATAAAGTGTTAGCTTAAGGCCAAGAATAGTCCATTTTCCTACATGCTATTGTTGAAGTTCCACAATTTCTGCATATTTTAGTTTTAACCTAGCTGATCTTACAAAGTGAACCTTTGTCCAGTGCCCACACTGAACCATGAATAGATCTTTTTTTAGGGTTCATTAAAAAGAAGGGGATCTAAATTTAATGGGATCTAAATTTTGATTGCAAAAGGCGTAAAGAGTGCTTCCTATGCCCCTAAGACACTCTCAAGAGGGCCTAAGAGGCCACAGAGGAGAACACAGATGTCTGTCCTGGTGGCTGTACTCTAGCCATTGTCTATTGGTGCTGTGTTTCTGGCACTGCCAGGTATGGTCTCAAATCCTCATTATAAACCTGTAAGTTAAGAAAAAGTATTAAATGCATAAACCATGGTTTAGAGAGATTAAACAACTGGTCCAAGGTCATGCATCTGGAGTAGCCAGGATAAAATCGAACATGTTCCACTCAAAACCACATCTCGTATTCTTAATCCAGATATTTTGATTTCAAACCACCGTTAGCTCCTTTCTTTTTCTTTTTTTTCTCCATGAATAATTTTCTTTTCCCCAAAGTGAAATCTGTATGCCACTACCCAATGCATAAAACCTATAAAGACCCCAAGCCTCGGCAGCAAACCTCCTCTGTGCCCCGACAGCCCGCAGTGCAGGCGGCCTGAGCATGGTGCTTGCCCCAAATCCTCCAGACTTAGGCCTTTTACACAGCCTTGCATTTTAAAAGCTCAGCTAAATCAGCTTAATTTCACTTAGCTGAGAATTGCTGGGCAAAGAGTAGATAGGAATTCCACTTTCACTCTCTGTTTGTTAATGGTGACTTAGCATAGAATAGGCTGTGTTTTGTCCTTTTTTTTTTTCCCCTCCTGTACTGTGGATTAAACCCAGAGTCTAAGCACTGAGCTACATCCCAGCTCTTTAAAAATAAAACTTTTGAGACAGGGTCTGTCTAAATTGCTAAGTTTCTCTGGCTGAGCTGAAAATTTCCATCCTCCTTAGCCTCCCAGATTGCTGGCATTATGGGCACATGCCACCATGCCAGGCTTGTTTAATTTTTTCAAAAACTCCAAAAATTTCCTTAAAATGAATGAAAAAATGTCCTATCGGTTTTATTCTGATATTCCAAGAGGTTTAAATGTTATCAATTTTGCTAAAGGTAATCTACTTTTATGATTTAAAGATTTGTTCATGACTCAGATTCTTACATAATGACTTAAAAAACACAAACAACATTGTTTTGAGCTTTATAATCCTTTTTGGAAATACAATAGGTATGTGAAAAAGACTTCTAGACTCATGGCTATTTTACCTTTGGTCAAATTTCAAAGGATATGTAGCCGTAGAGAATTTGAGATTCAGAATGAAACTGAGAAGTCCCCTCATTGACTTCCCTATTTCAAGATGAGCAAACCCATACCTGGGGAATGAATCACCTACTCCAACCAGAATGGGGCTAAAACAAGCATCACATCAAGTGTAGAATGCTTTCCTCTTCACCGTGTGGTCAGGCTAGTTCAGCATTTCATGATTCGTTCGTTCATCCAGCCGCAGATAAAGTAAGGACACAATGCAGTGTTCTGTGTTTGCAGAGCCAATTATCTTGACAAGATGTTGTCTTGACTCGATGTTCACGACTGTGCATTTAAACAAGTCCTTGTTTTGTTTCTTAATAACAATCTCTTGTAATAACTGTTACATGGTAGTGATATTCCTGGGCACGCTTTATATGTATGAACTCTAAGCATGTCACACATTTAAATTGTCACACACAAAAAATGTAGGGTAAGTGCTGTTATTACATGAATTTCACAGAAGAGGAAGGTGTCCTGGGGTTAAGGAAGTAGATGTGTCATACAGGTAGTAGGTGGCTGGAACAAAACCGGGTTTCAAATCCAGTTCCTGGTTTAAGTTGCTGATTCCAGCAAAGCTGAAAAATGAAGTCCATCCCCTCTGAGGTTGTCTGTCTGTCTCTGAGACAGGGTTTCTCTGTGTAGTCAAGGCTGACCTTGACATGCAATCCTCCTACTTCAATCCCAGAGTGCTGGGATTACAGGTGTGTGCCACCACACCTGGTTCTAAACTGATTATCCTCTTTTTATTTTATTTTATTCTATTTTAGTTACTGGGTATCGAACCCAGGACCTTGTACTTGCCAGGTAGGCACTTATGCTGAGCTGTACTCTTGGCTTTAAAGTGGTTATTCTTTACCACTGTTTCATAAACAGGACTCCTGTAATCCCAGCAGTTGGGAGGCTGAAGCAGGAGAAATATGAGAATGACCAGCCTGTGCTATACAGCGAATTTAAGGCCAGCCTAAACTGTGTAGTGAGACTCCATCTCAAAACAAACCAAAACAGAACAAGACAAGCTCTCTTCCTAATGGGAAACCCGTGAAGTATTCTCA